CCACGCTAGCAAAATTTTGTTTGCTGGATTTACACGTCATTAAAAGTAAAAAAAGCAGTGATTTTGCTGGCATTTTAACGTGCCACCTGTCATTTAACTGACGGAAGGACCATTTTGGTACCGAAAATGAAAGTTCAAGGATAATTTTGGTACTTTTTAAAGCTGAGGGACAATTTTGGTACCAAAGTGATAAGTTGAGGGACTAAAATGGTACTTAAACCTTTTTTTTTGTGGTATTGCTTTCTTCAGCGGAAGTTCAACCATATCATTGGAACATTTTACTGTAGAATAAAGTTGTAAATAAAGATTTCAACTTTGTATTTTTTTTATTTAAGAATATTAATTTTATCAATTTCTAAATAAGGATATTAAGTTTTAATTTTTTTTCTAAATAAGAATATCAACTTTCAACCTTTTCTATTTAAGGATATCAACTTTCAATGTTAACTACGTCAGCGTCACTATTCAAATAATCTTTAAATAGAAAAAATTGAAAGTTGATATCCTTAATTAAAAAAAATTGAAAATTGATATCTTTATTTAGAAAAAATTAAAAATTAACATCCTTATTTAAAAATTAATAAAGTTAACATCCTTAAATAAAAAAAGTGTAAAGTTGGAATCCTTATTTGCACCTTTACTCTTTTACTGCATTCCATCTTCGGCTAAAAAAAGGGCTTAGAAATTTCGAATGGTCAATAAACTTTCTATAATTATAATGGGTTGTAAAGTTTTTTTTTTTGAACAGAAAGAAATATTATATTAATAAATAAAATAAATATACATATAAGTTGTATACAATATAAATGATGATGAAGCTATCTTGTACCATTGATTATAGAGGAATTTAACCAATAAACTGTTGGTTTGAGTGGAAAAAGTTTGATTCCTTTAAGTAAAATTTTGAGTTCAAGTATTGTAAATGAAAAAACAAGTATCGAGAGAGTTTTTTATTTTATGAGATCCGATGCAGTTCGATTTTAAATTAATCGAGACCTCCTATAATTATCAAATACTGAAATGTTAATATCAAAATTATAGAGGAATTTATGCTCATAATAAATAAAATAATTAAGTTGTAGATAACTTAACTATAATTAGAGTTAAAAATTTAATCGCTATAAGAGACATGAACAGAGCTACTGCCATAGTAAAATCACCTTAATAAGCATTGTTAGCTACTAGAAAGAGAAAATAATAGCATTTTAACTTATAGGTTACTAAACATATGCTTGTTTCTTCGTTCAACAGAGAGGAGTATGACTTCTTTAAATCTTAATTTAACAAAAAGAAAATGAGGGAGAAAGCCAACTATTCTCCTGTGAAAATTGATGGTACATTATGGGCATATTACATAAACAATAAAAAAACAAAGGGAGGGACAAAAACTTTTAAAATTTCTTATCCTTCTTACCTCATTCAAAAGGCATTAAAGAGAATCACATGGTGGAACTGCAAAGTCCATCAATGAAGATTTCTGGCCGTAGAATTCAAGCTACTTCATTGACTGCATAATCATACACACTCAGAGACATTAAAGAACATTAAAAAAAAAAAAGAGGAAGAAATTCTCACACGTAGTTTTGACTTATGAATACTAAGCAAAATTTCTTCAAAACATTAAAAGCTGGCTAGCTGGCCCTTTTATTTTCCAGCTCTTTTTATAATTATATTCACGTGATGAAATGCAAGCTCTTATGTGTTTTCTTGAGAAAGAAGTGGTGTTCCAAACACCAAAACTGTGGGGAATTAGTTTCTGGAACTGTTACCAAATATTATATATATA